CTCTACGTGAAATTTTCATTATTGAAAGAGTAATACAATAAATTATATTGGCAATTTTATTTCGTTAATGAATTGAAATTATAAAATAAAAATATGTGTATCTCGGAAGTATGAAACTTCGTTTAGGGAATTTGTATATGAAAAAATCTATATTGACTTATTCTAGATACCCTAAAAACGTTTAGCCCTATGGGATATTGGTTATTATTGCAAAACTTGGCATTAGTCACATGACAAAAATTTTCACTGCGAGCATTTCCATTAAGTGTAGCTTGTAGCGTAGTGTCTATTGTGAAAATTCATAAGTTTGTCTGTCATAAGGTTAGACAGCTATTTACTAATTAATTTATACTGTATATCTCAAGATCAAACACTCACGAGAGAATTACCGTAACTGAAACCCATCGTTTTAGCTCATATTAAATCTAGAAGGAAGTGTCGATAAGACATCATAGGGTTCGTCTTCCACCGACATTTGACTCTAGGTTATGACTAATTTACTTGGTTATCGACTCTATTGTAGGTAGTTCCGGAAAAATCAAATCATGGAATTTTGATACAGAATTGTGAAAGGTTTAGTCGAAAAAAATGCTTCTTTGTCAAAATATTGAATTTACAAAAAAAGCTCTTTACTGCAGACATGCTACAAAAAATCAAGTTCACTTGAAAATTTCTTTTCAACTGAAAACTTCAAGATATTCTGAAAAAATCTGTTATTCAGCTTGACGAAGAATATTAAAATATGAGTCGAAAGTTCGGTAAATCTTTCATAATTCACTCCCAAAGGCTCATGAAGACGAACTCTATTAGGCTTTTGCTAGTCTCATCGAGATCTTCTCTTGAGATGAATATCAATTCAAACAGTAGGCGTCGTTTCTTGGTCAGAGATCGAATGGCTTGAGTCAATTTTGTGAAAATTATTGTTTTTTTCAAGCAAAGCTTATGCTAGATTTTCTATCAAAAAAGAAGTAGATAGTAGAGTTTAAATTCTATGTAAAAGTTATTCTTATTTTTATTATATGACAGAGAATTTCGAAACCCTTTTATATTTAAGATTTCGTATTTCGATTCTTTTCATTTACAAAACATAATGTATCATAAATAAAACATTACAATTAATATTTTAATTACAACTTTTTTGATCTATTGAAGAACATTATATAGAAAGTAAGTATATATATAAAATAAGATTAAAAGAAATAGTTTCAATGTCAATTTATTAAATATTTCTCAAAAAATTTTTATTAGATAAATTTTGGTAATAAAGTAATATATTTTTACTCTTCCGAAATCTTTTCAAGAAACGATGCGTCAGATGTGCTTGAGGCACTAGAAAGTTTTTTTTTTTGGTAGGCTCTCCTAGAAGTCATAATTTAAGCGCAAGTGTTCTATTGTCATATATAGATATATATAGCATTAGGCGCGTAGTTCTGTACTTTCTCATTGCTTTCATATTAGTCATACACACGCTATTGTGAATATAAGTTTGAACTCTCATGCTAACAATTTCGCACTTTTACATGAATATATAATATTTTATATCAATGAAAAAATCCAATGAAGGGTCGAAAAAAAATTGTCTCAAGAGAGTTTCAACCCAGTTGAAGTTTCATATTTGTGGGTGAATAATTTAACACTTTGCCAGTTCTGTTTGACAGAAAGTGAGTTTAGACTCATATAAAAAAATAGTATGTGACTAATATGAAAGAAATGAGAAAATACAACGATTAATATAAGGCCTAGAAAGTTGGAATTTAGTGCAGAATCTTAAATATGTTTCACACGTGACAATAAAATGCACTTAAATTATGAGTTTTTAGAAGAACCAAGCGAAAGAGCTTTCGTAATTTACAATAGAAAAGTAATTGCTGAAACGTCGTCTATGCATGATTGTCCGCTCAGGAATATAACAGAAAGCCAAATCTTTGTTTTTTTTCTGTACTTAATAGAATATGTTCTAAACTTTCAAATGTAATGTTATTTATAGGTATATTATTTTTTGAATTCAATGATACGTCAAGAAAGAGACGAGTGTGCAAAACAAGTTTTGAAACTTTGATGATTACAAGAAACATAATATATTAGAAAGAATTATTCGATATATGTTTAAAGAGTATCTAGTTCATGGTCCAACCAAATTTTTTTATCACGAAAATACCGTCTAGCTAAAATAAAGAGTCAACAACTTAATGATCTGTTGAAAACTATAAATAATAAAACTGGTATCAGTCAACATCAAATTGCAAGACATTATATAAAGCTCATCAAACGATAATTAGTTGTATACTGAGAAAAAGAAAATTGATTGTCATCAGAAAAAGACGAAAGACGCAAAAAAAATGGAAAATAAAAATCAAGACAAACGAGCTAGATGAGGCTAGAATAAACCCTTGAATGATTGTAATATTATTTTGAATAATGAAAAAAAATACTTTAGTTTAAATGATAATAATATTCAATATAATAAAATTCATGTTATGCAAACCGTCGATTAATCACGATTCTTCTGCTTGATTTGTTTTTATATCTCATTGTATGAATATTTTAAAACTCTTAGAAAAATTCTATATTTCAGTCGAAATCATCACTCTTTATGAATGTTGTCACGCTCATGTCACTTGTAGTAGTTATATCGGCTGTTTTCGATTTTGATTATTTCTTAGAAATTTTTACCAATAGAAAAAAGTGTGACATTATCTAACAAAATATACTGTATCATTTTAAAATCGAATTTTTTTGAGTCGCAATCGTTCTTTTTCATACAAAAAAAATTTACTTAAGTAGAAATGTCATGAAAAACTTGATCAAAAAGAAAAAGAGTAAATTGATGACCTGGGGTATGTCAACAAAAGGTTATTACCGTTAATTGAAAAACATCAGAAAAATGACAGTTATATGTTTTAGTCGAATAAAGTTAGTGTACATTATGCTGACATTGTCCTTAGCTAACTAAGCGGAAAATAAAAGATATAAAAATTGTGTCTTAGGAAAGTGCGATTGAAATTGTTTGGAGTCTATTGGAATAAAAAGTGTATGCACATAATTTGGTAAAAGAATGTTCCTAAGTGGAGAGCTCTATGTCTGGACATTTTGATAATTATGTTTGCATCATAGATTAATGATCCATGGAATAGAACATTCACTATCATTGATTAATTATTTGCACATTTGGAACTTTAGTTAGTATATTTATATTAGAATATATCTAGTTTTCAAGATTTTAACCTGAAGAACTTTAACGGACTGAATTCAATATTCTTTCTGTGCTTTTGGAACTCTAAAAGTTTCTTTTGAAATCGTTTTGAATTTTGTTTTAATTTAAAATTACGAAAATAAATAAGATACAAGATTGTCTATTTCATGAAATGATTTTAGTAATATTACACTTACTTTTTTTATTAGGATTTATTAATGTATCATTTCCATACATGCATAAATGTTGATTAGTTCGATGTTGTGCATGTAAATCAGAAGGAGAAGCAAAATGATTAGTTAAATTTTGTTCATATTCATGATTCGATGTTATATTGGGTTGATGATAATTTGATAATGATGGTAATAATGGATTAAATGATGATGGAATTTCATTTTCTATTTGTAAATTATTCCAATTTTGTCTTGGATGATATAAAAATAAAGATCGATGTTGTATTGTTGCACGTGGTGGCTGATTTTCTAATTCAATACTATTTGTAGGTTCACGTCGAGTTCGTTTATTATTCTTAATTAAAAATAAAAAGAATTAACAAATTTTTAATCGAAAGAAAAACAAAATAATAAATTTTCTTACATATTGATTATATTCTTGAATAAAATAATCATCTTCCATAGATCGTTTTCGACTCTTTGGTGTTATTGGTAGAATATTTTGATTATATATTAATTGTTGATTATTAGAAAATAATTCTGTTTGTTCATTTATTGTTGAAGATCGATGTTGTTTAGGTGATGTAATTATTGATGATGGTAAATAATCAATTGAAATCGGAGTTAATTGTTGACAATCTAAATTAATATTTTCACCATGTTGTTCGTCAGCACATTTTCGTAATGATGAACGATTCATAATACGTTTCTTTTTTTCATCCATTATTGAACATAAATTCATTCTAAAAACATAAAAAGAAAAACAATATGTAATTTTAAAGTTATAATTTTGAACAATAATTTTAAAAGAAATTATTATACATACAAATGATTGTTCTATATATATGAAAGCTTTTTAATGTCATACGGTTGAAAAAAAAAATAAGTATAGATTTGAAGTCAGTTACATAAATATTATTTATTTAAAAGAATTGAATTATATTCATGGAAGAAGAGAAATTATAGTTAACATAAGCGGAAATGAATGAATTCGTCTCTCATTTTAGCTCCAGGACTGAAAAAAAAATCAATGTCGCGCATTACTATTTATAGCTCTAAGATTTCCTGTGTTTTCATCCATGAATAGATGCTTTGTTTATCTCCATAAATCAGTCCAAAGAGTATAGATTAATCGATAAAAATCAAGAGAAAAGAAAAAAGAAAATATGTTTACATACCTATATAATCATTTGATCAAATTTAAAATGACCTACAGAAATAAATCTGAAATACAAATAAATAATAATTATCATTGAAAAAAGAAGCAAAAAAAAAAAAGAAGGTTTTTTTTTCCTTTTCCTAGAATTATACAGTACTAGAACATTAACTATATGTTACAACTAAAACAAAGCCGAAAAAGTAATATAATAATAAACAACAACAACAACAACAAAAACCAGTTCTATACGCACACACACACAAGACACAATCTGACACAACATTCAAAAAGAAGCTGAGATTTAATTCGAATTTATTTCTTTTTGCTGTTTTAAAGTATATGGCTTTTTTTTCCCTTGAGTGTATCATGATAAATTACTGCAAATAATAATAATAGTTTCTTTGGCTTGAGCACCATTCTTCGATTTCGAATAAAAAGAAGATGACAAGAAAAACAAAAATCTGACCATAAGATATTATAATTCAACAGATGGAATTATATCAATAAGTTGTTTTTCAATATTAATTCGTTCATCAACTAATCTTGCTAATTCATCATATATACGTAATGTTGATTGTCGACGTCCTTTACGCCATGCATCATTGTCATTATTTCCATTTTGTTGATGATTATGATTATTATTTATTGGATTTGTTAGTTTACATAATGAAATAGCACTTTCACTTGGTCGTTTACGTTGACGTATTGAATTTGTTATTTCAAGAATTTTATCATCTAATTCATTTAATTCAATTAGAATACTATCAAGTTTATATTGTTTTTCAGCACGATCAAGAGCTAAACGTTCTAAATTAATAGATTCAGCAAGTCGATGTTGAAGTTCAGCATATTTTGATGGAAAAGTACTACAAAAAAGAAAAGAAATAAATAATGAAAGTTTTCTTCGTTTGAAGATATTTTAAGATTCTGTTCGTGTGTCATATATGGGAAAAAAAAGAATAATGTGGAATTTGTATTAGTATTTATTTCAAGCTCTAATTAATTTGAGATTTTAAGTTTTTTTCTCTGCTCGAGTGCGAACAATAGTTGTAGAATTTTTCAAATATGCATGACTTCACTTTTAATAAATAAGTAATTATTATCATTTAATGAAACATAATTACAATAGAAGAAAGTCATGTTCGGATTATGTAAATTGTTGCAAAAATTTATTCTTTTAATCATCAGTAGTAGATATTCTTAAGGATGAAAGAACTAAATATGTGAGATAATTTAATTCACGAAGGAAGTCTCTCAACAGTTCAATTGCTTTGAGTCATGACTCTATGCATCATGTAGTTCATTATGTGTTAGGATTATCTTGAAAAGAATTCGAACTACTATTTAATTGTTGAGATATTGCATTTTTTTAGCACAATGCAGTAATAATCTTCCCCTCAGAAACATCAGGAAAATTGAGTTTTGAATTTCGACTTGAAAATTTGCATAAAAACACATATCAATTAGAATCATTTGTTATGAAAGTTTTCAGTCCTTTGGTTTGTTCCTATTCTAAAATACACATATGATAACAGCATGTTTTCTTTTTACATTACTTGTATTACATCATCAAATTCTTAGGTTCTTATTTCAACATAGAAATTACGAAAAGGTCTGAAAATTTAACAATAAATGATTCTTACTAAGGTGTATTTTTGTGCAAAGTTCCAAATCGAAATTCAAAATTTATTTTTTCTAGTTTTGCTAAGGGGAATTATTGCACTATGCTCAAAAAAATGCACTATCTTAACGAATAATAAAATAGTAACTCAAATCTTTTTTAGAGTACTCTTACTTCATTATACGCTAATATGTTCAATATATACGATTGTCTGTAGTATAAGAATAGGAGAAATTTTTCTTTTTTCATGATTTAAAAACTTTAAAACTGTAGTTTGATAACCATTTGTTAGTTTCTCTTCTATTTTAACTAACGCGTTAACATATTAATACGACGCAGACGAATTGGCAAAAACGATATAAGGTAGGATTGATGAAAAAACGCAGTTACAAATTTCACACTACATAAAGAAAATATAAACCATTACTATCAATGAAAAACGCACAAACGAATCAATTTGAAGATAGCAAATGACAGCGTTATCAAAACAACAACAAAAAAATGAGGCCTACAACACCGTCGGTATTCTACGGCCTATGTCGACTATAGACCATCGAGTGAAAATTTTTCGAGACTATTTAACGGTGAACTCGATCGATTCGGATCCGGATTCAATTCGATGAACTCTGATGTAGATCTACATCTGTATTTTTTCCTCTTACGAGGGAACATATGCAAGTGTAAAAAATCTTTTGAGTTCGGACTCTGTGCATAAGGTAGACCCCAGCGAGCTATGAAAAACCCTAAAAGAATAAAGGCTGTTAGGTCTTCTGTCCAGAGTTACAGGTATTTTACTGGAATTTTAGCCTATGGCATGATA